TAAACATGAACCCCCCCCCCCCCCCGGGAGGCCCCAATACCATGCTGGGAGCTTTAGAAAAAAAATGCAGTGATAGGGAAAGCTGAATGTGGTGAACTTGGCCTGTTTGGCAACTGCTGACTGCAAAGAGGAAAGGGAAAAGCAGCACACTAAAGCCCGATCTCATCAGATCCCGGAAGCTAAGCAGAGTCGATACTCAGATGGCAAACCACCTCTCCTTCTCACTTGCCTTCAGCTGGGGTCGACATAAATACCTTGAGCCTCTATCCAAGTAACAACCCCGAGGTTTATGCTACAGGAAGTGGAAGAAGAAGACAAGAAGAGGAGGAGCTTGGATTTACACCCCACCCTTCACTACCCAAAGGAGTCTCAGAATGGCTTACAACCCCTTTCCCTTCCCCTCCCCACAACAGACACCCTGTGAGGTAGCTGGGACTGAGAGAGCTCTGAGAGAACTACCTTTGAGAGACCAGCTCTGAAAGAACTTATGACTGACCCAAGGTCACACCAGCAGCTGCATGTGGAGGAGTGGGGAGTCAAACCTGGTTCTCCCAGATTAGAGTCCATGCTCTTAACCACTACACCAAAAAGAGGAGGAGGAGGAGACTGGATTTATACCCCACCCTTCAATGCCCAAAGGAGTCGCAGAGTGGCTTACAATCTCCTTCCCCTTCCCCTGCCCACAACAGACACCCTGTGAGGAAGGTGAAGCTGAGAGAGCTCTGAGAGAACTGCCCTTGAGAGAACAGCTCTGAAAGAACTTATGACTGACCCAAGGTCACACCAGCAGCTGCATGTGGAGGAGTGGGGAATCAAACCTGGTTCTCCCAGATTAGAGTCTATGCTCCTAACCACTACACCAAACTGGCTCTCAAGCCCCCACAGAGATCTGAAGCCGGGTAGTCGGGCACTCTAACCTTTACACTACATGGGCTCACTGGTTCCGAAAGCAAAAAGTGGATGGTGGCTGCTGCTTGCCTTCCCCACGTGAGCCACTGACAAAGTTTGCACTTCCCAGCAACTGCTGCCCAACAGCCCACTGCCAGGCTGAGCAAGCAAACGACACTGGCAGCAATAGTTAGGTGCCGCAGTTGCTGCCCCTCAGCTCGCCTGCCTTCTACTGCTCTCCCTCTGATCTGCACGCAGGGCTCTTATCTCATAGCATCTGCAGCTCAGGTGGGTAAGCCAAGGAATGGTCACTGGCCAATCCCACTGCCTCCACTACGCAGAGAGAGAGAGAGAGAGTGAATGGCAGAGGCTGCCCCTCTGCACGGACAGGTCAGGAGTCAGCCATGGGCCTCTCTGCAGCCCTTGCAGCCACACAGTGATGCTTTAGGTCAGGAAGAGGGAGCAGGGAAATTCTACAATTTCAAGATTGTCGGGATGAGTTCCAGGAACCAAGGCTCAGCCATGAGGCTCTCCCAAGAGGGGAAGGACCCAGTTTAGAAGTTTATAATTCCTGGGAGGTGACTAGGGTTGCCAGGTCCCACTGGACACGGGAGGGGGATGGGGAGGAAGGGTTGTCAAATCCAGTTCGGGAAACTCCTGGAGATTTGGGGATGGAGCCTCTGAAGGACAGGGGGCTTGGTGGGTCCACCCTCCAACGCACCCATTCTCTCCAGGGGGACTGATCTCTGCAGTCTGGAGATGAGCTGTGATTCCAGGGATCCCCCAGGCCCCACCTGGAGGCTGGCAACCCAAGATGTGACACCTCCAGAACAACGGGGTGAGAAGTGGGGAGGCTCAGGTATGTCCATGTCCTGGGAACTCTGAGGACGATACAGGCAAGGCTACGAGGTCCCAGCGCAAACCTGTAATGTGAGGGGTTGGGGAGTAAAGGCAGTAGAAGAAATCTGTTTATTTTGCAAGAAGAAGAAGAAGAAGAAGAAAAAGAAGAAGAAGGAGGAGGAGGAGGAGGAGGAGGAGGAGGAGGAGGAGGAGGAGGAGAGTGGATGATTTATACCCCGCCCTTCACTACCCAAAGGAGTCTCAGAGCGGCTGACAAACTCCTTTCCCTTCCCCTCCCCACAACAGACACCCTGTGAGGTAGGTGGGGCTGAGAGAGCTCTTGACAGAAACTGCTCTTTTTTCAAGAACAGCTCTTATCAGAACTAGGCCTTGCCCAAGGTCATCCAGCCAGGTGCAAGTGGAGGAGTGGGGAATCAAACACGGTTCTCCCAGATTAGAGTCTGCGCTCTTAACCACCACACCAAACTGGCTCCCTCTTAAGAGACCAAGAATCATATTGAGAAAACACACACACACGCACACTGAAATAACAGTGTGCCTGAGGTGGGGGCAGGGTGGGAGAATAACACCAAGTTGGAGACACTCATCTTTGCAACTGGTAGTGCAATCCTAGTACGGTAAAGGTTTCCCTTCCTCGAAAGCCAGTCAAATCCGACTCTAGGGTGCGGTGCTCATCTCCGTTTCCAAGCTGAAGAGCTAGAGCTCCATTTCCAAGCCGAAGAGACAGCGCTGTCCAAAGACTTCTCTGTGGTCATGTGGCCAGCATGACTAGACGCCGAGACGCACGGAACGCTGTTACCTTCCCACTCAAGTGGTACCTGTTTATCTACTTGCAACTTCTTGCTTTCGAACTGCTAGGTTGGCAGGAGCTGGGGCCAGAGACGGGAGCTCACTCCGTCATGTGGCACTCGGGTCTCAAACTGCTGAACTACCGACCTTCTGGTCTGCAGTTCAGCGTCTTCACCACTAAGCCACTGCAGCCCTAGTAAACAGAGTTAAATCCTTCTAAATCCACTGAAGTCAATGGGATTAGACTGGTGTTAACTCTGCTTAAGACTGCACTGTATGGTTGCCAGCACCTGCTGACCTGGACGATCGGTCCCTTCCCTTGCAGAGACCTTGATCAGAGAGAGCTCCAGCAGGCCCGGCTGGATAGTCCAGGCCACAGTCTCCCTTTTATGGCACCTGCTGCGAAGGGCAAGAGAAGCCACAGAGTGGCTGTAGCATCTCACCTGCACAGACGACCGGGAGGCCCGGGCCTTGTTCAGCGTTCTCCGCCTCTCCCAGCGGTGGATGGAGTCTTGCACTTCCGTGCTCAGCTGCCGGGTGACCGTGATCTTATCGTAACTTTTGATCAGCTCCACTGCCCCATAAGTAGTGATCAAATAATAAGAGCCTGTGAGGAAATTAAGACACATCCATTAACTGTCCTTGGGTCTACAGGCCCTTTGTGCCGTGCTCTGATCTGGATGTCAATTGTAACATAGGTAACACCACAGAAGAAAGAAAGGCCTAATACATTACCCAGGCTACTTAGGGATCATGTTGACCCAGTTTCCATGATGAATGTGGCAATATCCTCCTGGGTATCTATTTCAGTCACTAACTCAGGGCACCTTCCCTCGGCCACTCAAAGGGGTGGCTGTCCATCCACTACTTAAAAAAATTCCTACAGAAAAATGATCTGGTCAGTTATCACCTGGTCTCTAATCTATACTTTCTGGGCAAAGTAACTGAGAGAGCAGTGGCGTACCAATTCCACGTCTTCTGGGATAACCCATTTGCTCTAGACCCTTTTCAGTTTGCGATGAGACAGAGACAGCTCTGCTAGCTTTAGTTGATGACCTCTGAGTGTAGAAAAAGGCCAAGCCTCTCTGTTGCTCTTATTGGGTTTATCTGTGGCTTCTGATACACTAAGAACATAAGAGAACATAAGAGACACCAATGTTGGATCAGGCCAAAGGCCCATCCAGTCCAACACTCTGTCACACAGTGACCAAAAATACCAGGTGCCATCAGGAGGTCCACCAGTGGGGCCAGGACATAAGAAGCCCTCCCACTGTTGACCCCCCCCAAGCACCAAGAAGACAGAGCATCACTTGCCCCAGAGCCCCTATCTATACCTTGTGGCTAATAGCCACTGATGGACCTCTGCTCCATATGCTTATCCAATTCCCTCTTGACGCCGTCCATGCTGGTAGCTGCCACCACCTCCTGTGGCAGTGAATTCTATGTGTTAATCACTCTTTGGGTGAAGAAGTACTTCCTTTTATCCATTCTAACCTGACCGCTCAGCAATTTCATGGAGTGCCCACGAGTTCTTGTATTGTGAGAAAGGGAGAAAAGTACCTCTTTCTCTACCTGCTCTATCCCATGCATAATCTTATAAACCTCAATCATGTCACCCCTCAGTCGTCGTTTCTCCAAGCTAAAGAGCCCCAAGTGCCTTAACCTTTCCTCATAGGGAAAGTGTTCCAACCCTTTTATCATTCAACTTGCCCTTTTCTGCACTTTTCCCAAAGCTATAATATCCTTTTTAAGGTATGGTGACCAGAACTGCACACAGTATTCCAAAGGAGGCCGCACCATTGATTTATATAGGTCATGCCATCTGGCTGAGGTGCCTGGAGGCAGAAGAAGGTTATCACGGGATGTGCGTTGGACTGGTTCAAATAATTCCTCATGGATCGGACTCAACGAGTTGCTATTGGAAACCAGTTGTCATCGGTGCGAGACCTATCTTGTGGTATTCCGCGGGGCATAATTCTATCCCACATGCTTTTCAATCACTATGTAAAACCCTTAGGACAAACCATTCACTGTTTGGGGGCTGGTTGTCATCCAGATGCTGACAATCCTCTGCTCCATACATCCTTACAATACTGGTTGGGAAGGTGGAGGTCTTGAAGGACTTTGTTCTCCCCACTCTCGATGGAGTGTAGCTGGCCCTCGCTGACTCAGTTAAAAGCCTCGGGGGTTATACTGGACCCAGCTTTACTACTGGAGAAGCAAGTTAACGCAAGGAATGCTTTCTGCCAACCCAACTTAGCCTTGACACAGATGACCTGGCCCCCTGGACCCACACCACAGGAACACTGAGACTAGACTATTGTAATGCACTGTATGTTGGTCTCCCCTCTAAAGCAACTTGGGAACACCAACTGGTCCAGAATGCCGTGGCTTGGCTATCCTTGGGAGTTAGATGGAGTGTGCATATTACTCCCATTCTGAAGCCACTCAACCTGGTGCCCGTTTGTTACTGGGTTCAGCTATGGGCTGCTAGGCTCAGTATTGGCTATCACGTGCAGAGGCTTTCCAGGTGGCACCCTCCTCTCTGCCCCTACCTGCTGCCTCAGAACCAGAACCCACAAAGCTGTCTCAGACTGAGTCAGAGCATTTGTCTGTCACGTTCAGTATCTCTGACGGGCAGCTGCTCTCCAGCATCTCAGACAGAGGCATCTGACATCACTTACCCCCCAATGCTTTTAAGTGGAGAGGCCAGGGTTTGAACCTGGAACCTTCCGCATGCAAAGCAGGTGCTCGGCCACACAGCCGTGTCCCACCCCCAAGGCTGAAGGTGTTATTGTCGGACGCCTCCCCAGACTCTGTAGATGAGTCACAGCAAGTGATACCTGCTTCATTAGAGCTCCTGGGCTCTCATGAGAACTGGAGCTCTTGTGGGAACCAAAGGTCTTGCCTTAACCACCATCCCAAACATCTGTGCCACCTGGCGGGTTGTCTGAGGCATTCCACCCTCTCTTGCAGGGCTGCTTCATCAGCCCCCCCCCCCCCCCTTTTTTGTCCCCCCCCCCCCCCCCCGTTTTCGTAAAACCATAGAGCTGGCCCCGCTTGGAAGGGCAGCCAGTCGGGGGCACGGGGTTCGGAAACACCTGCTGAGTTGCCGGAATTGGCAGAGGGGCAAGTTATAAAACTTGCCCTGGAAGGCCACATGTGGCCCCTGGGCTATATGCTGAGCACTGGATTGCCATTTCTGGCTTTGGAAATTCTTGGAGATTTGGGGGAAGGGTCTGGGGAGAGCAGAGTTTGGGGAAGGGAGGTAGCACAGCGGGGATGGGATGTTGTGGAGTCTGCCCTCTGGAGCTGCCTTTTCTCTCCATGAGAACTGATCTCAGTAGCTGGGACATCGGTTGTAGTTCCAGGAGAACTCCAGCCCCCACCTGGAGGTTGGCAACCATAGCTGTGCATCCCTGGGCCAGCATGCTGGGAGATCCAGGTACAAGTGACTGCTCTGCTACGAAACTTGCTGGGTGTCTTTGGGCCAGTCACTCTCGTTCACCTCACAGGGTTATTGTGACGATAAAACAAGCAAGGGAGAATCACGTACGTCGCTCTGGGCGGGTAGGGTAGAAATGTAGGAAGGGTAGGGTAGAAATGTAGCAGGTAGACAGGCTGATGGTCAACTCGTGTTGTAGCTTGGCTGGGGGACATACCACAACTGATCTCCAGACTACATAGACGAATTTCCCCGGAGCACATGGGAACTTTGTAGGGTGGCAAGTGTAGTGTCGCATTCGTACTGAGCTCCCTACCCTCCCCAAACCCTGACCGCCCCAGGTCCCAACCCCAAATCTTGAAGAAGGAGGAGAAGATTGGATTTATCGCCCTAGGTAGGATCTGACTACAAAATGTAGGCCACCTGTAAACCGCTCTGAGACCCAGTAGGGGTCATGAGCGGTATAGAAGTCACATGTAAATAAATAAATAAATAAATACCCTGCCCTTCACTATCAGAAGGAGTCTCAAACAGATTCCAATCTCTTTTCCCTTCCCCTCCCCAAAACAGACACCCTGTGAGGCAGGTGGGGCTGAGAGAGCTCTCTCGAGGACTGCTCTAGAGAGAACAGCTCTGAAAGAACTTGTGACTGACCCAAAGTCACACCAGCAGCTGCATGTAGAGGAGTGGGGAATCAGTTCTCCCAGATTAGAGTCCACACACTCCTATCTTCAATCCCAGATTTGGCAGCCCTAGGCCAGCACCGCACACAGGAATAAAACCATCAGAACGGGCTGGTCATGGAAAGCACGGAAAGAAAAGTTGAATGCAGAGATAATTTCAGCTTGTGCAGACTGACATTATAATGATGGTTTTAAAAGGCGGAAATCTAAACCTTGCAGTTAAGGAGAACGGCTACTAGATGGCGCCCAGGTGTCATAGAAGTATCTCAGTGCTGCAGTGGCAGAAGAGAGATCATGTTTCTTCTGCACCAGCTCCTTGGTCTGGAATAGTTTTTACAAAGAATAACAACCTTATCACCCTGTTACTTTTTAAAAAGAGGGAGACTTGATTTATGCCAAAGTTTTTTGCGTTTAAAATAATTTTGCAGTTGTCCACATAGGCAGGGCTAAAAAACCCACCGTACTCAGGCTACTTAAGGATCCTGTTCCTTTAAATCAACCTTGCCTCCATTGTTTTTCAGTAGATTCCACTTGGTGCCTAATTAATAACTTCCTGTTGAGTCATGGTGCCAGGGATACCTGAGAAAGGATCCATTGCCATTTACTTTTTTCCTCCGTGGAGGTTTTAATGACTCTTTTTCTCCTTTGCAACAAAACATGAATTTCCTTTTTTTGAAAATTATCATAACTGCACTATTACAAAATTAGGCCAGCGAAAATTAATGAGTAGGCTCTGCATCCAGGAGGAATGCAGAGGGCTCATTGTAGTACTTGAAAATATCCTTTAAACAGTAAACCACAAAGCCTTCAACTGCAAACGGCAAAAGTGAGGCAGAAAGAAGCACTGTGAAGACCCACTGCATTCCAAAAACAAAAGTTAATGTGCGTAATCCTCCCACTGAAGTAAAACATGCCTAATTTTGCCTAGATTGGGAGCCCGCCAGCCTTTTCTTTAATGGGAGTCATTTATGACTAATAATGTAGGGCCAAGATTGTGCCCAAATTCCCTTAATTTGTGTCCAACCTTTCTCCCCAAAAGGAATCCAAAGTGGCTTATGGTATTTATTCCCCTCCATTTTACCTAAATGACATTTCTCTGTGGTATGTTAGGATGAGAGAGGGTGACTGGCCCAAGGTCACCCAGCAAGCTTCCATTCCAGAGTGGAGGACTGAACCTCCCAGATCCTATTCTGAGACTCCAATCACTGCACCATAACAGTCTAAATACCCACAGTGCATAGGTGTTTCAGCCATCTGCAAAAAAGCTGAACGTAGAACAGGATGCCTGGCCCCATCAAACACACAAAGGCACACACTTCATGTGCCACTCCCCTTTTCACCACTGATGTGAAATGAACTCCTTTGGCTCACTGTGCTCTACAATGCTCCTATGCCTGTGTGTGAAGAAACGTTTTGCTGACTCCCAACGTTTCCCCCATACACATCTATATGAAACTGAATCTTTCCCCCCTGCACATTTCTCCCTTACCCATTAAGGACATAAGAGAAGCCATGTTGGATCAGGCCAATGGCCCATCCAGTCCAACACTCTGTGTCACACAGTGGCCAAAACCCAGGTGCTATCAGGAGGTCCACCAGCAGGGCCAGAACTCCAGAAACCCTCCCACTGTCTCCTGGCCCCCCCCCCCCCCAGACCACCAAGAATACAGAGCATCACTGCCCCAGACATAGTGCATAGTATTCTATCTGTACGTTATGGCTAATTGCCACTCATGGACCTCTACTCCGTATGTTTATCCAATCCCCTCTTGAAGCTGTCTATGCTTGTAGCCGCTGGCACCACTTCCTGAAGCAGTGAATTCCACGTGTTAATGACTCTTTGGGTGAAGAAGTACTTCCTCTTCTCTGTTCTAAGCCTACTGCTAATTAATTTCATTGAGTGCCTATGAGTTCTTGTAATGTGAGAAAGGGAAAAAAGCACTTCTCTATCCCATGCATAATTCTGTAAACCTCTATCATGTCACCCCCTCAATTTTTTGTTTCTCCAAGCTAAAAAGCCCTAACTTCTTTAACCTTTCTTCATAAGGAATATGTTCCATCCCCTTAATCGTTTTAGTTGCCCTTTTCTGCACCTTTTCCGATGCTATAATATTTTTTTGAAGTACAGTGACCAGAACTGTACACAGTAAATGAGGCCACATCATAAATTTATACAGGGACATTATGATACTGGCTGATTTGTTTTCAATCCCCTTCCTAATAATCCCTAGCATAGTATTTGCCTTTTTTATTGGAGTTGCACACTGAGTTGACATGTTCAATGAGTTATTTACCATGACTCTAAGATCTCTCTCCTGGTTAGTTACCACCAGCTCAGACTCCATCAATGTATATGTATAGTTAGGACTTTTGGCTCCAAAGTGCATTTCTTAGCACTTGCCCACGCTGAACCTCATTTGCCACGTTGACACCCACTTACCCAGCCTTGACAGATCCCTCTGGAGCACCTCACAATCCTCCCTGGTTCTCACCACCTTGAACAAGTTAGTGTCATCTGCAAACATAGCCACTTCACTGCTTACTCCTAACTCCAAATCATTAATAAACAAGTTAAAAAGCATTGGACCTAGAATTGAGCCCTGCAGTACCCCACTGCTTACTACCTTCTACTGTGAAAACTTTCCATTTATACTCTGTTTCGTGTTAGTTAACCGGTTTTTAATCCACAAGAAGACTTGTCCTCTTATTCCATGTCTGCTGAGTTTACTTAGGAGCCTTTGATGAGGAACTTTATCAAAAGCTTTTTGGAAGTTGGAACATCTACTGGGTCACCCTTGTCCACATGTTTGTTCACCCCCTCAAAGAACTCTAAATGGTTAGTGAAACAAGATCTTCCCTTACAGAATCCATACTGATTCTTCCTCAATAGCTTTTGTTCATCAACGTACCTACTAATTCTATCTTTAATAACAGATTCCACCAACTTACCTGGTATCAACATTAGACTGACTGGCCTGTAATTTCCTGGATCTCTTCTGGAATCATTTTAAAAGTTGGGGGTTACTTTAGCTACCTTCCAGTCCTCAGGAATGGAAGCACACTTTAGTAATAGACTACATATTTTTGTCAGGAGATCCACAAGTTCACGTTTGAGTTCTTTCAGAACTCTTGGATGTATGTCATCTGGGCCTGGTGTTTTGTCAGTTTTCAATTTGTCCATCAGTCCTAGGACCTCCAACAACTCATAACTGTTAGCTAATAAATACGTTAAGCTGTCATTTGGATTGAGAACAAGACATTCTGAAGATTGCGCTGATTTCCAACACAGCAGCTGGGGGTGTTGGAGACAGTCAATTTCCCTGCTCCTTATGGATAGGGATCTCTTCCGTTTCAAGCACACTCGTCGTTCTGCTCCCTTTAGGCCATTGCTAGGTATCTATTGCCTAGGCAGCCACATTATCAAAGGGGCCAATTTGTTTGCACGAACTCCACAGTGGATTCCAATGACACGTGGCCCCAATGCCAAGGCACAAAGGAAATTGAATGCTTTATCAGCAAAATAGTTAACAGCACTGATGGAATCCTTGATCTTCAAAGACATAGTCTCTAAAAGGCTTGAACATACAGCGGAAAAACAAATACCCAGAGACTTAGCATATTTGCACTGCTGTGTGTTATTAAAGGTGCTGGGTCTTGTTCCATCTTTACAACTAAGCAGATCTGGGATCTGGCCAGACTGGTATGGAATGGGAATCTAGTGTGTGGTACTCAGAGGTCTTCCATGAAAGAGCAGGATGCTCTTTTAGGCGTTGATCTTGTTAAAAGGGTAATCAACAAAATCCTTTATCTAATTCTGAACATGGAACTAGATGTGGATCCCTAGAAACACAGATTAGGGCCACAGACAGAGATCTTTCTAAGAACTCGGAGGGACACCCAAGTTTTATCAAAACCAGAAAGGGCAATCTGATGACTATAAGAGTGATTCTTTATTATCGTCCCATAATTCTGAGATCATTGAATCTGTAGCTAAATTTCTCTGCTGTGCCTTTAAGAGGAGAAGATTGTTCCAGCTACAGGGGTAAAGGACGTATCCTTGTTTCCCTGCTGCTGGTGTTTGTTTTGTTGACATGCCAATAAAGGTTCTGACTGATTGACTGACTGACACCCAAGTTTGCAGAAAATCCCAAACCTTAAAAAAGGTGGGTTTACAAAAACAAAAACGCAACAGAGAGGAATTGTCTGCACAAGAGCAGAAAATGTAGTCCCAGCCCACCAACCGCAGACTTAGTGGTGCGGGGCCAGCTGCTGACAGTCTGCTTCCCCCTGCATCAGGGGGCCCTGTGGTGACTGCAGAAGTATGGGGCCAGGACCGATGGAAAAAAAAAACCTTGTGGGAAAAAAAATCTTTAAAATAATTTCAGGTCAACCAGCAAAATCTCATTTCCATCAACAGTTTTCCCTTTCAAGAATATCAGCATCATCCCCCCTTATGCTATAGCAACACGCACTTAAGGATAGAAGGGCAGCCCTGATCCATCATCTCGAAGGTCCCTCTAGCCTAGCATCCCATTTTCTGCAGTGATCAGCCAGATGCCTCCGAGAAGCCTCTAATGACAAGACATGAATCCCAATAATCAGTGGCATGCCACTGTTCCACTCTCAGAGCCAGAAGCTGGAGACACACACACATGAAGCTGTCTACCATGGTCAGTGTTGTCTACTCTGACTGGTACCAGCTCTCCAGGGTCTCTGGCAGAAGTCTTTTACATCATCTCTTCTCTGATCTGTTTAGTTGGCGACACGGGGGATTGAACGTGGATCCTTCTGCAAGCGAAGCAGGTGTTCTGCCACTGAGCAGGAGCAGGCTGGCTAACTTAGAGGGAAATTTCCCAGTGGGCCACTGGTCTCGAGGGTGGCCAGGAGCAAGCATAACCAAGCTCTAGCAACTCTGCCAGAGCCTCAGGGTCCACCTGGAGCAGATCTTTCATTGGCAATGGCAACTGGTGTCAGTCCATCAACGATCTTGCCCTATCCTCCTGCCAATTTTCAGGAAGGAGCAGTGGGTAAGCAAATATCCCTTGTAGCGACCTGGCGTGGCACCACAGGGGACACTCCACTTGGCTTGCTCCCCAGGGCCACTCTCACTTCCCAGTCTGCTCCTGCCCCTGAGCCATAGCCCCACCCCAGCCCTAACCTCCCAAAAGGTTACAGCACCAGAGGAGAGCCTGGTATCTCTCATACCTTCACCCAGCTGCAGAGCAGGGTCCATGAGCTCCATCATATATTCCACATTCAGAAGCATCTCAGACAGGTCGCTGCGGGCCAGAACATACATGAGCACTGGAAGGAAGTCATCTGCCCCATACGGCTTCCCTGAAAACAAGAAGAGACCCCATTCAAGTACCAGCTGGCAAGCCAAGGGCTGCTGATTCAGACATGCAAAAATCTATGTGGGGTAGGTAGAAGAGAAAATACATGCATTCAAGGCAGGGCCCCCACAAGTGTACAACTGACCTACAGGCCCTTGTGAGTACTACCCTTACCAGAGTAATTGTGGAGCAGCTGGGCTGCATAGCAGCTAAAACATAGATTTTAAAAATGATCAAAGAAATGTGCAAATTAAGGTGGCAGTAAAGCAAGTTTCAAGATTCTTCCCCTGCCTTTGTGATTGTATAAAGAACCACCTTTCCGAAAGTAATCTTATGGAACCAATTCCTTGTAAATGAAGAAGAATGTTTGCAGCTGTGCATTCTCAGATGATGGTAATTAAAGAAGGGATATTTTATGAAGGTACCATGAGAAGAAAATATTCTGCATTTCCTGGGAAAAGAGGCAGATTTGCAAGATGTTATGTCCTTATGGTGGGATTCAAGAAAAACAGATATTTCCTTTAACGATTCCAATAGTGATCTATATATATATTTTAAAAGATTAAATACCTATTTTGGGTGAAATCTCGGTCCATTATTTACACTGCAGCCATGTTTATAATTATGCAGCCCAGACTTTTTAAAGAACAAAAATGAAAACATGTGTTATTTATATTGGATATTCCTGAACTCTCCTGCTTGTACTTAGCTATGTAATCCTTATTTATTGAATTCTTATTAGCGTAAAAGGTTTTTTAATATTGGATTTTCTTAATATTGCCCGTTGAAATGTTTACTTATTGTGTAATGTCTGCTTTATGGTTTTAAGCGGAACCAGGTTGTCTGGAGGGGATGGACGCACAATGGACTTCCGACAATCAACACTGTACTGTGTTGTTCCAAGATACTTTTGTCAGATCCTAGGCTGTTTCCTAGGCTGTTTCCACACCAAGCCTTTTCTCTTTAGTGTTATCTCAGCTGGATAGCTTTGGGGGGAGGGGGGTGTCATTCATATGACATCATGTTGTAATTGCGCATCAGTGGTCCTTTCTCTGTCCTCATTACACTCTTTTGCAAATTTCTCATTGATGTAGCTCTTATTGGCGTTGTGAATACAAATGCGTTTGTAGTGGCAGCAGAGAATCCACACAAAAGATTGCCCCTCACTCCCCTTTGCCTCAGCCCTCTGCCATCTTCCACACCAGCAGAAAACTGTTTTCAGCCTTTAAAAAAAGGTAATAGCTATAACTATAGCATTATAAGGTTGTACTGCAACAATGTACTAGTTCCCAGTTTTCATTGTTTTAAATGTAACTCCCTAGCCCTTTTCATTGCAGAATTATAAGGAGAAATGTGTAGCCACTATCTTTCCCCTTTTCAGTCTACAATCAAAAGGGCTAGAGAGACAAACTTTTTTTAAAAAGGAAGGTGGAATTGATCATTACAACATAATAATGCTATAGAGCAATATAGCTATTACTGATTTTAAAAGCCCCAAATCTCCTCTGATGTGTGTGATGGAATGGGTGCCACAGGGCCTGAGGTAATGGAATGTGGAATGAAAAAATGTGCACCTTCCCATCCACACAGCATTCAAAGATGCTCTGACTGCAACCTTTCCAAAAAGATCATATCAAACTAGATTTGAGAAAGGCCACAGCAAAGCAGGGGAAAACACAGAATCAGGACAAAAGAGGGTGTCATACGGATGCTCATAAAAATAGTGCTGCAGTAAGGAAGCCAAGGGTGAACAAAACATCTGTGTAGAAACAGCCTTGCTTTGCTATGATATTTTGGGGAGAGTAACGTCCAAGTGCACTCTCAAGCTGTCTGGATGCCTGTTTTCATAGGTCATTTCATACATCATTTCCCCTCCATGGGGCACTTACAGCTGCATATCTTTCCTGTTACACCACCAGAAGGTTTTACTTCCAAGGTTTTTAAAAAAGAAAATTATGAATTGCTATAGCACTATAGTACAATTCCATTTACTGATTTTCTTTTTAAAAGCTCCCTAGCGGTGCATTAGGGGAAAATGATCACCAACAGAGGAAAGTGCACAGAAAATCCCCGGGTGGAATCTCTGTTACCAAAGCACCTGCCCCTGCATTTGCAGCACTGGTAAAGGCAAAACGAAGACTCCTGGCCATGTGGGTGCAGCCATTTCCCTCCTTAATAGAGCTGCTGGGGCTACCCCACCCAGTGGAATGGTATCCATGGTTATCATCTCTTAAATATGCACACTGGCAGCAATCCAACAGAGACAAGCACACGTCTTTCTTTTAAAATCAACATCAAAAGCTTAAGCCTGCTTAACTGTGCACTGGATTGCTCTCATTGACGAGTTCCAAGTGGTTCCTATGAATCAGCTTTGTTTGTTTGCCGGGCTGAGAACTATGCTCAGTGGGAGCCTTGAATAAATGTGCTTCTGTTCCTTCTTCAAAAAAGAGAGCTTTAAAATATATCCAGCAAACGGAAAGCCAGCACATTTTTTTTAAAAAAAGTGGTAAGAGTGTCCTTATTAACCATATCTTATGTTGTTATCGTCACAGAGGGGATGTTTCCCGGTTGGCAAAAATATATAGCCATCTTCCATAAAAATATACAGCCATACACTAGAAACAGGACTTTGTTGTTCAATTAAGCTCCATTTAGATGACACAGCCACAGTCATGATAAACTACAGATCTGTAGGAATAGCGGGGGGGGGGGAGGGAGAGATAGTCATGCTCTGCGGGCAGAAATTCCTGCACCCATGAAAATGCTTGCCTGGATTCAAGCTGGGGAGGGGCTGTGGCTCAGTGGCAGAGCATCTGCTTGGCATGCAGAAGGTCCCAGGTTCAATCCCTGGCATCTCCAGTTAAAAGGATCAGGTAAGAGGTGATGTGGAAGACCCTTTCTGACCTGGAGAACGGCCGCCAGTCTGAGTAGACAATACTGACCTTGATGGACCAGTGCAAGGCAGCTTCATGTGTACCCGGTGTAATATTTCTGGATACACAGATACTGAAGAATGGCTTAAAACAAAATGAACAGCAACTCAAAAAATCTGATACGGGCCCTGACCTGGATAGCCCAGGCAAGCCCAGTCTTGTCACATCTTGGAAGCTAAGCAGGGGTGACTCTGGCAAGTACTTGGAAGGGAGACCTCCAAGGGATACCAGGGCTGGGACCCAAAGGCAGGCATATCAAGCACCTTCTCTGAACGTCCTCCGCTCCCTAGTAGGAATCACTAGAAGTCAACCATGACTTCCAGGCACGCGCACACACACAATACTCACTGATTTTTTTTTTTTTTGATACAGTAGTGTCTATGCCTTTTTTTCTAGAACTAAGGTCATATGATGTTAGGGCAAGTCCACAAAATACCAGTTTCTTAACACTATTTAGTACAAGGGAATATCTCTAAATTGAGTACTGAGTATGAGTTTAATGCATAAGCCACACTGAGAGCAAATCTACTACAAGGCCATGTATACATTTTAAACCAAAAACCTAAATGAAATCACCTGAACTTATATTTATGCCATGTAGATTATATCGGTGATCATACACCATGCCTCAAATCTATGCTTCGCAGAGCAAAGATGCTCTTTGAAGAATCCTTAGAAAAGAATTAGGGTCGGCCGAAACGGCATACCTCGTTCCAGTATTATCTCTGCTGTCCCTGCCCTCACTCACCTCCCATTCTTCCATGGCACTGGGAAAGAGAAACAGCAATGTACCGGAGAATCTGGCTGGGGCCTCCATAGCCTGGCAAACCCTCCCCTTTGCCCTTTAGCGGGGGGGGGGGGGGGGGGGTTTGTGGTTCACAGTGGAGCCACAGCTCAGCTGTTAACTAAAGAAAGCCCGTAAAAGATTGAGGGGGGGGGAGAGAAGAAATCAGAGCTCAGTTCTGCCATATTGTAGGCGGAGCTGAGCTCTGGCCTCCTGCCTGGATTAGATGTGGGCAGAACTTCTACATGGGGGCACTGCCTGCAGCCATCCCACCATTTTCCACTTAGGTCAGAGCAATGTATTCCCCCCCCCCCTTTACTCCAGTTTATAGGGGAAAGTCCCAGAAGCAGCCCCAGGAGTTGTTGTACTTATTATGTGGAAGCTCCAAAATAAGCAAGGGCATACTGTATTCCACTCAAGGAAAATATTCGAGTGCACGCACTGTTAATCACTGGAGCTGCATCAACTGCAAGGAAGCAAGGATTACCTTGGTTCCTTGCTTAGCAATCGCCCATGGCAGTGTTTGGAATGCGGAATGGTACAGAACAGCCCGATCTTGTCAGATTTTGGAAATTAAGCAAGGTGGGAGACCACTAAGATGCCTTTGCAGAGGAAGGCGATGGCAAACCACCTCTGCTTAATCACCTGCCTTGAAAACCCTATGGTAAACAGAACTTTACAAACATGCGCACACAGCAGTGTTCAGAAAAACAATGAAGGGGCATCTGTATTGGTTGGCTTTTGTTAGGTCTGGAGAGTTTTCTGTCCCCCCCCCCCCAATTTTTTTTTACCCATTGACATTTTTGACTCTGTTTAAAACTTTGTATGTGTTAATCTTTGGTCATAATTGGAACGATGGAGATAGTAGTGCTTTGGTTCTAATGGGCAGGATGGAGACAGCAGATGTGTGATTTTTGACTCAGATGTTTTAAGTGATAAGGTTGTTTTAACACATTTTATTATGGTTATTCTATATTTTAACTTTGTAGACTGCATCATTAACTTTGTAAACTGTATCAAAAGGCAGGTCAGGCACATTAAATGTGTAAACGAAATCCATAAACATCCAGTAAACCAGAAATCTCCTGGCGAATGCATAACTAAATACAGTCAGGAAAGGAGGGGCTGTGGCTCAGTGGCAGAGTATCTGCACCCATGAAAATCCTTGGCTGGATTCAAGCTGGGGAGGGGCTGTGACTCAGTGGCAGAGCATCTGCTTGGCATACAGAAGGTCCCAGGTTCAATTCCCGGCATCTCCAGTTGAAAGGATCAGACAGGAGGTGATGTGAAGGGCCTCATCCTTCACATCACCTCCTGTCTTGCATAGTATTTAAATCTTTGATATTATTTCCCTCTTTGGTTACTGCCTCCTTGAATCCTTATGGGGAAAGAAAGAAAGAAAGAAAGAAAGAAAGAAAGAAAGAAAGAAAGAAAGAAAGAAAGAAAGAAAGAAAGAAAGAAAGAAAGAAAGAAAGAAAGAAAGAAAGAAACCGACACCTTTTTCATTGTAAACTCTGTATTTATCTCCTGGTTCTCCCCAAATGCCTCATTACCAACTGTAAGCCCTTCAAGCGGCTGCTTCAATGACATTGAAAATGGCTTCACTTGTTCAAGGTGGAATTGCCTTATTCCAAATCCAGTTTGCCTCCTTTCTGTTTTTCAATGACATGAAACATTTGTTTCATAAATATCGATAAGAGGCTTAAAATAAGCCCTCTCCTCCATTACAAACCCCAACGCGATTACATTCTAGGTAAACTATCTGCAGCATCGGCCACCGGTTGGACTACAGCACTTGAATGAAATTGGTATTTAATAATTGAATGCAGAGTTTAAAGGAATTGGAGTCCTGCCCAGACGTCCATAAAGAAATGAACATTCTGCCCTTACACATGCAGGGAGCTGCCACTCCTTTGGGTCTGAGGCACAACAGGGCAAATCATCACTGGCTAATGGAGCGGCAAGGATCTCAAAACTCATTACAGATCTCTCGCAAAGCCTTAGCACATCACACTATCAAGTTATTTCCCCCTCCACCATTTTATCCTCACAACAGTCTCATGAGGAGGTTAGGCTGCAAAAGAGTGACTGTCGCAAGATCACCCCTTATGTTTAATGGATGGCCAGGAATTTGAATCCCAGGTCTTCCAAGTTCAAGTCCAGCACTCTAACCACTACACTGTTTGCTTTGGAGAAATTCAATATGGTGGTGTTCTTAGATATAGCAGCAGCTAGAAACAGAGTTAGAAGCACTGCTTGCTGGGAGATGTAGTCTTTAGACATGAAACAAAGAGGCGATTTGGAGGGACCTAGTCTACCTCAACAAGTGATTCAGCACTTCTTGTGCCTTTTTAAGGTATACCTGTTTTGGAACTTGAAGTCTACTTATCTGCTTCCTAACCTAATAAACAAGGAAATCTGACTAATCAAATGAGATCCAGAGACCAAATTCAGTAACACTGCCTTTGTTGTCCGGTTTCATTTTTTAAAAATTAAAGATATCTCTTTGATCTTAAAGGCCCCTGTCTATAATTACACAAAGGCATTCTAAAATTCACACTTAATTGTCTGACACTTGAGATTTCTGGAGTGTAGAAACCTTGGACTGTTATTTTTTTAATGGGCAATATACCAGCATTTTAAATGTCTGTGCTTTAAGAAGGTGGCAGCTCCTATATCCCTGTCATGTAGCACCATCAGGGGATCCTTTTGCCTTCTCTCTAGAGTTTATTTTGAATAACATTCCAAGAATAATTCAAGATAGCCAGAGTGTATTAGTGGTCAGAGTGTCAGACTAGGATCTCAGACTAGGAGGTGATGGAAAACGCCATCAAGGGCGATTCTGCATTGGCTTTTCCCTCCATTGTTTTACCAAACCCATGCTGGAACAGAGACTCCCCTCTGCATTGGATGCCGCTTTCACTTTCTTTGATCATTGGATTTTATGGTACCTTCTGCATAGATTTATGGGCATTCAGGGGTGACTTCTCAGTCAGTATGGCATTGGCCCCGGGGTATTTGAATGTGGTTTTGAGCTGCACCTTTGGTAAAACAACGGAGGGAAAAGGCAATGCAGAATCGCCCCAAGTTGCAGCCAACTTATGGTGAGCTTGTAGGTGTTCAAGGCACAAAGTGAACAGAGGTGATCTGCTACGGCCTGCCTCGGTGTGGAACCCCAGACTTCATTGGTGGTCTCCCATCCAGATACTAACCAGCGTCAACCCTGCTTAGCATCTGAGATCGGGCTAGCCTGACCCATCCAGGTTAGGGCAGGATCTGGGAGACCCAGATTCATATCCCCTCTCTGCCTTGGAAGCTTGCTGAGTAACCTGTTGCTATCATTCTCTCTCATCCTAACCTACCTCACAGGGTTGTTGTTGAGGTTAATGTTGTAAGCTGCTTTGGGTTCCCATTGGGGACAAAAGCAGGGTACAAATATCTCTGTAAATAACTACAGATAAGAGATACTCCAACAGGTGCAGGATCTACTTTTATGAAACTCAACAGAGATCTCAACACATTTGGACAAAATGTCTTCCTCAGGAGCAGTAGTTCAGAACCCTCCTTCTGGTTGGTCCCCAAAGAGCTGTTATTACTACCCTTGTTCGTACTGTAGGTGCAATCTACAGACTCAGAACAGAGGTTACAAAAGAAGAAAGGTATTGCAAGAAGTAAGCCAATGTTTGCAAATCTTATTAGAGCAAGTGCAAAACAGGAGTTCTAAAATATTGTACCAAGGAAGACTTGCATTGTGCAGTGTGTGCATTTGATTCAATGTGTGCCTACAACCACTGGAATCTCTCTGTTTGTACCTCTGTCTCCATGAATAACCATCAGAAGGTCTAGCAGCAGTTCCATGTCAGCTGCAACAGACTTTATGTGATGAAGCATGATTTGGGTAATTCTAAGTGAGTCAGTACCGCAATAACTAGTCAGATTCTCTGCAATCCAAAATACTTTTTAAAAATCAGCTACGGGTATTTGGATTGTCCCACAGTACCTGGATTTCCCTGGGCCATGGAGTCATAGATGAGTTTGCAAGACTTCAAGAGGATGGAAATCTTTTTCTCTGGCGAATAAGCCTTGTGCATGTTGGTGAATTTTTGCAGGATTTTCTCCAGCAACGTGGTTTCAGGCACACTAGTGGTGATTCCGAGGTCAGTAGTCGTTGTGTTCTGTATGACCTGCTGGTTCTCCTTCAGGAACTTAAAGGATCCGTCTTCGTTGTGAATTTCCCTTAAGTAGGTATAGATGGCCTCCTTCAAAGGCTTCAAGACACACTTGTGCAAAGCAGATTCAATTATCACCTCTGGGAGAGGGGAATGAGATATAAAAGGAACAAGTGAGAAACAAGATGCAGGAAACCAGAAGAGCTAGTTCAGATACTGATATTGCTTAAAATACCAATTTGGGTCCTATTCCCTTTCAAAAGGTATGCAAATATTCCCAGACACTGGACTAATTGTGTGAACAAGATTCCAGCTTGGTTCTTTCTCTCCCATCCTTCCCTGTGCCCCTTTGCCTATTTATTATAATTTCTCATGGGACTGATGATTAAGTAAATATGCCCCTACAGAATGCATGATCAAATTATCTTTTTTGCATTTTAGAGTGGGAAGAGGCTTTGTCACAACAACAGAGAATGCTAGAGGGACTTGACTTTGATGAAGGCAGATAAGAGTAAAACGAACAACTCAAACGAAATATCTGATGAAGGGGGCTCGAAAGCTTGTAACCTGAAAATCTAGGGTGCTATTGGACTTGAATCTAGGTAAACAACTCTTAAGGGTTAGATCCAGCAGAAAAGCTTGTGGAAGTAATTGGTGGAATGGATATTTCCCTGACTTCCCATCTTGTTTGTCCCCAAAAATCTCTTCTGAGGCTTGGGAAGTGAGTTGAGACTGGAAAAAAGGATTTTGCCGAATTCCTCCTCCTTCCAATTATCTGCAGTGTCCCCAGAGAGCTCCAGGCCTGATGGTGGTTGCAACATATCCATGGTGAACAAGGACCCCGGTCACACAGGCCGAATATCCCGGGGGGGGGGAGGCGTGGCTAATTGCCCCGGCGCAGTTGGATGCACGATTACGCGATCAGACGCACCAGCGGCACACCACAGGTCCTTCCCTCAGTGCAGGCGGGTAAACGAGGGACCGGAGAGGAATGCTGCGCGCTGGCACGATCACACCACGGGTGTCTGGAGGCAGCCCGTGGCAAACGTTTACAGTACCTTGGAGGTACTAGTTTTTTAAGGCGCATTGTCGGCGGTAAGCCACCAGTGCGCTCCACTTCCCAGATGTTGGGGTGTGATCGCGTCCGGATAATCCGCCCACCATCCGTGCCTCTCCCGCGTTAACTGTGCCGTGTGACCGGGGCAAAGGGCTACTTACAGAGACTGCCACACTTGCTCCAGGTGGGGCTTGCACAGCTCCTAATTCATCGAATAAGTTGCAGTTGAAGCCACCACACTCCTCAGTCTCCACTTCTAACACCATGTAATGTTTTTGGGTTCCAGTATAGAGACCAGAACAAGGAGCAGTTCAAACATTTTAAATCTAAGGAGCAACTCCAACACATCCACACAAGCACTCTCAACTAGCTGAACTGGCTACTTGAACATGTGACCTTAGGGGAAGGCCTTCAAATCAACACAACTAGATAAGAGAATATCTTGAAATAATAAATTCTATCACAACAGCTACAGCCCCTATCCTAGCACTGCAGTACATTTTGTTTATGAGGATCTCCCCTGACCCTCTTACAGGATATTCAGGCTGCTGGAGGAAGGTGGGGAAACAATCTCTCCAACAACTCCTTCCACAAGCTTCTCCACAGGATCTCCATTATTTTTAAGTATTCATCATCTAGCCTAGTACAGGGTGAAGTCAGAGTCCAGTGGCACCTTTAAGACCAACAAAGTTTAATTCTGGTTATAAGCTTTCGTATGCATGCACACTTCTTCAGATAAGATAGGGTAGTAGCCTAACCGCGTCGTACATTTCTTTTATATGCCAGTATTTATTTTTCTTCAATAAACCCTTTCCTTATTTAAGAACATTCTTTGGGTTTGCTTCAGGTTTGCCTTGACCCTCATCAGCCTCAACATACTTCATTCTGTGCTATTTGGATAATATTTGTCAGGAAATCTCACCTAGTAACAAAAGACAAAGACGAGTTTAGTAAAGGCAGAGTGAATTAACAGAAAATGAGAACAATGACAGGAAAGTAGGCCAGCTAGGAGCAGTTTCCGTAATTTAAGTGAGATATTCTCACAGCATGGGCAAGTAGATGGTTGAGGAGAGACATGAATTCTGGGATGTTAGAAAATTAAACGCAGCAGAACCTGGCCTGGATGCGAAAGAGAATGTGAGGGTGAAGATAATTCTTAAATGGCATGCGTGGGAGAGAAAAGGGAAATAATTTGAACACCCATGAAGCTGCCTTATACTGCCTCAGGCCATTGGCCATTCCAGTTCTGTATTGCCTACTCTACCAAGCAGAGGCTCTCATATTACCTCCTACCTGACTGTTTTAACTGGAAATGCCAGGGACTGAACCAAGAACCTTCTGTATGCCAAGCAGACGCACTGGCACATTATGGGGAATGTGGCTTTGGGTAAAAGACGAGCAGCTCAGTCTCTACCATGCCGGGTTTCAGAAGAACATTTAGGAGGAAATGCTGACAACATGACTGTGTAGAAAGACAACCCATCTGGGTGGAGATAAGGTGAAGCAATCCTTCTCAATTTTCATTTCCCCCCTGTGGCTGTTCGCTGCTTTGCTTCTTACCAGCTCTACTGAATGCAACCTTCTGCTCTGCTGGCACAAATTCACATACAATCAGTAGGACGAAGCTCCTTATTCTGCAGCTCATGCCACCTCTGTTTATTACCTACTGAGGCTATTGCTTAATGCTTGCTTAACTTCCAGCAAAAGAAACCCCAACAACAACACGCACAAAAACCTTCCGTCAGATTTGCAAAAGGTACAAGTGGATTGCATCACGTCTGTCCTGTTGACAACTCTACAGGGGCACCAACCCAACACACAAGCTTAATTCTGTGTTGCCCTGTAACCAGGCTGTCTCCTGATATCACGTGGCAACAGAACTGCAGCATCTGCAATGAGCTTGTATCAAAGGATCTTTCCCAAAAGGGTAGTGAGGGCTTGAGATCCCCGGAAGACATTTTTTCTTCCCTTAGAGCTCTTGCCCAAACCAGTCTTCCCTTGCTAACTCTTGGGCAATTATGTTCTCCATCTGAACAATAAACTACCACATGCATCAAGGTCTAGCTTCAGCACAGAAGGAAACAGTCGCTTTCTGCACTGTTAGGACACTTAACAACACATTGAGCTAGCTTGTAGTAAGTCAGGTTTCTCAAGGTCTGTACTGTCCGCAGTGGCTGTTCAGGATCTCAGGTCTTTCACATCACCTGAGGATTTTGACTGGAGATGCTGGGGACTGAACCTGAGAACTCTTGCATACAAAGCTGATGCTCTACCACTGAGCCATTGCCTCATTTCTCTCTGTGCGTTTATCATTCAGTTATTACTTACAGTCTATTCAATAATCAGCAGGGTCAACGGAAAGTAGAATTTGCTGGAATTTATGAAGGAGTTTATATGGAGTTAAGATTGCCCAGTTTTGCCAAAGCAATGCAATATGGCCTTAAAGTCTATACCTGCTATCCCCATGGATCTTCAGTTGAGGCTTATTCAGCAAATACACATGCTTAGGATATTCTGGACACCAAAGTGACCCTTTAGCAAAGGATTGGGTAAAGTATCTAATTGTTGGCATTGTAACTCACAGAACGCATCTCTTCAAAATATGCTTTGGGTGCATCCAGTCATTTGGTTTTTCTAGGAAGAAGTTATTACTCATATAAATTTTGTATTCGAATGTTCATTGATTTTTGAGGATTCTTATGGACTTCTAAATTATTTACCCATCTTTTGGGAGGCTAACTGATGGTCAACAAAAATGGACTCCCCCATACCCTTACTACAGCTAAAAGACTCATATTACAGCCAGAATTCCCTCTAAGCTGCGCAAGGAGGTGCTGGTGCACAAAATTTTAACCGGCAGCTCAGGGATTTTTCAATCACCTCACAAGTGAACTGAGAAGGCATTTTTCCCTCTCCACTGGAAACAAAGGAGGATGGGGCACCTCCTTCTGGGGTCCACAGAACTGAAGCCCCTGGTCCAATCTTTTTGAATGGGGGGGAGGGTTGAGGAGAGGTACCAGCAGCTATGTTGAAAATTTGGTGCCTCTACCTCAAAAAGCACCCCCCCCAAACCCCAGATAGCCCCGGATCTATTCTCCATTATAGCCTATGGGGCCCATTGACTACAATAGTCCCCATAGGCTATAATGGAGCTAGAAAAATTATTATTATTATTATTATTTTGCTCACCAATATTATGCTTTTTGGTATTATTTATAAGCTGCCTTGAGTCACAGGGAAAATGGGAAATAAATATTTGAATAAATAAGTAGTTTGGGCAGGTTGATAACATTTAAGCAACTTCCTGTTTGTCAAGTTAGGCAGGGTTCTGTCAGTGATTGTTCCACCTCTGTTGACCGGTAATGCTGGTTGTCATATTTCACTAAAAAAAAAAAAAAGTAGA